AAATCTGTTAAAATTTTTCTATTATGAATCTATGACAATAAAATTTCTAGTACAAATGCACTATAATTAAATCTCTGTTACAAATCTATTATAATTGAATTTCTATTAAAATTTATATCAACATCCACTACAATTCAAATTCCAATAGAAATCTACGACAATATAAATTCCTATACAAATCTGTTACAATTCAAATTTCTATCAAAAATCTATCACAATTTAAAATTTCTACCATGAATCTATTATAACTGAATTTTCTATTCAAATCTATAATAATAATAATAAAGAATCCCTTATAATTCAATTCTATATTAAAAACTAACAATTAATGTTACTTCTACTTAAAATTAACTGCAATTAAGTACGAAAATCTACCATAAATTGCATTCTTATAAAGTGTTGCATTTAGCTTTAATTTCTCATTTTTCTTGCGCAGTCGTACAAAGTCGAGGAACACGAAAAGATCGTACAGGATCAGCCGGGTGAGATCCGACAGGAGAAGACGGTGGTGGTGTCTCAGGACGAGGAAGGGATCAAACGCGACATGAAAGCGGCCTCGCAGGTGCCGAAATCGACCAGAAAATCGACAGCGCCCAGATTCGTGTCGCCGATCACAGGAATGATCGTCGATCAGGGGACCGACGTCGTTCTCGAAGGAATAATCGATGGTGAGATCATGCGAATGCTACTTTGTGTCACGTGATATTAATAGTTGGACCACATTCGAGTTTTCCGGTTACTTTCGTTCTAAAATTAATTCGATTTGATAACGTAATTGTGGCCGGCTGTGATTTTCAATCATCAATTTATATTGTCTCGAGCTTCTGCGATCGTTGTCTATCTCGTGGGTAATTTATTATTTTATTTTGTTATTTTTATGTTATATTTGTGTTATATTATGTCATATTTGTGTTTTATTATGTTATATTTGTGTTATTTTATGTTATATTTATGTTATATTCTGTTATTATTATTATTATTATTACTATTATTATTATATATATTATTATTATATATATATATATTTAGGAGCGATCAATTTAATGCTAATCGCGATGCATCGATCTGTTCCGATTAATATTTCAAGCATAGTTTCCTAAATTGATTTTGAGAAATTAGAGTTGTTAAAATTAAAATTCAGAGAATTATTTCATGAAGATATGCAGGGCTTTGTAATTTGTTTCGCCGACTTGTCTGCGCGATTGCCAAAACTGTCGGCCACTGACAGCGAGTGACGGACTATTTAAAAAGAGAAACAATTCTGACGCCACGTGAATTATTGCTATAGGGTTAGCCAATCGTTGTCGACCCACTATTCGTACCTCGAAGGTTAATATTTATCGTGTTGTGCTATCTATGCATCCTTTGCAATCAAAAGTTCAAATAAGTTGCAAAAGAATTTGGGAAGATTGTTCTTCGAATAGCGCGCGTACAATTATTAAGAAAACAAACGGGAGTTTTATGCAAAAAATATAAATAATAATTATGTACTAAATAAATGAATGTTTCGCGATGTTCTACTTCGAAATCTGCTTTGCCGATAAATAACAATAGCATCGGTAAAGTTCGATTGGATCGACGGTATTTGTACAAGAATTTGTTATAGAATAATACACTGAGATTTTAATGGCCAACTATTTCATATTATAGAATTTAAATTGTAGTTAAATTTTAGTTAATTTTAAATAGAAGTAAAATTAATTGTTATTTTTTAACATAGAATTGAATTATAAAGGATTTTTTATTATACATTTAAATAGAAAACTTTAAATTGTGATAGATGTTTAATAGAGAAATTTGAATTCTAACAGACTTTTATAAGAATTTAAATTCTAGTAGATTTTTATTGATATTTGAATTGTAGTGGATGTTGATAAAAATTTTAATAGAAATTCAATTGTAAGAGATTTATAATAGAAATTTAATTGTAGTGGATTTGTACTAGAAATTTAATTATAATAGATTCATCATAGAAAAATTATAATGGTTTTATAATAGAAATTTATTTATAATAGATTCGTATTAGAAATTTATTTATAATAGATTTATACTAGAAATTTAATTATAGTAGATTCATAACAGAAAATTATAATGAATATTTATCATAGAAATTCTATTTTATGTAATAGTAACGTCAATGTTTCATTCTGAAAGGTGTTTGACTCCCACTTTTGGCAAGCGCCCTCTTCCTCTCTGAAAGATTTACCACCCACTAAATTCTTGTTGCAATATTTTCCCGCACAGTTTAACGACTCGTTAATCCATTATTCAAGCGATTCGACTCCACGACTCTAATTTTACAAAATAATTAGAACACAAATGCCACGTTGACTGCGGTTGGAGGATTAAGAAATATAATATTCTGATGAAAAGTAATCGCGCGAATTGAAATATTTCCGTTATTTATCGTAGTTTAATTCTTGAACGAAACCGTGTAATATTTCAGTGACCGTTTCTGTATATTTTCCGCAGGATATCCTCCGCCTTCAATCACATGGTCGAAGAATGGTCAGGAGCTGAAGTCGAAGGATGGCCTGGCGATTAGTTATGCGCACAATCACATCCGACTGGAACTGAAAAACGTGAATGTTAAGGACGCAGGCCGATACACCTGTTCCGCGAACAACGATGTTGGATCGGCCAGCAGCACAGCCGATCTAGTTGTCAAAAGTACGAGAAAAGTATCAAATTGTTTCCAAAAAAAACCTCACTCTTTGCTGGTACTATTAAATTAGTTACAGTACATTTAAATTAATTATAGTGCATTTCAATTAATTATAGTACTTTTAAATTAATTATAGAGCGTTTCAATTAATTATAGTACATTTAAATTAATTATAGTGCATTCAAATTAATTATAATACATTTAAATTATTTACAGTACATTCAAATCAATTATAGTACTTTAAAATTAATTATAGTGCATTTCAATTAATTTTAATGCGCCGCAATTAATTATAGCATATTTCAATTAATGTATGTACTTTTAAATTAACTATAGTACATTTTATACAAGTACATTTGAATTGATTAACGTGCGACGAAATTCACTTCTGCAAGAAAATGGAACTTCTTCTTCTCGTTATTTTCACACGGACAATACTTTAAAAATTTTAATTTTAATTTTACTGTTTCGAGAATAGCTTGATCTTCTGGCAAGCTGAAATAGCGATACATAAATATTCGAAAATGATTTCAGAAACGATATTCCCACCCGTATTCGGCAGAAGGCTTCAGGCCCAGGTGGTGAAACGTGGCGATCGTGTCAACATGGAGGTGGAGATTACCGGAACCCCGGAACCAACGGTTTCCTGGTTCAAGGACGACATACCGATCAAGGAACGCCCGCCCGAATTGAGAATGAAGCAGCAGGGAAATTGTTACATGTTGATTATTGACAAAGGTGGGCCATTTCACGATAATTGTGTGGCCATATAAATTACGCTAACTAGGTCAGAAAATATTTACGCACATTTTTCTGTTCTTAATTACTTAACACCGACACATTGTTAAGGAAAATAGGTTTTAATATGTACAAGTTCAGAGAAATAGTTTTTGATATTTACAAGTCCAAGGAAAATAGTTTTTAATATTTACAAGTCCAAGGAGAATAGTTTTTAATATTTACATGTCCATGGAAAATAGGTTTTAATATTTACAAGTCCAAGGAAAATAGTTTCTAATATTTACAAGTCCAAGGAAAATAGTTTTTGATATTTGCAAGTCCAGGGAAAATAGTTTTTAAGATTTACAAGTTCAAGGAAAATTGTTTTTAATATTTATAAGTTCAAGTAAAATAGTTTTTAATATTTACAAGTTTAAGGAAAACAGTTCTTAATATTTACAAAAAGAAGGAAATATCTGCGGTATTAATAATAAAGCAACAAAATTCGAAGTTTATTGAAAGCTTCGTTTTCGTTTGAACTTTAAAATTGAGATTCTACCGATACGATGCAATTCTAATTTGTATCGTTTAATCAGCTGAGATGCATCATTGCGGCAAGTATATGGTTCGGGCGACGAACGCCGGCGGGGAAGCTCAGAGCATAGCCGATTTTGCTGTTTTCGAACCAACGCCTGACACGATGGTCGAGGTCCACAAAACCCTCGTCTATGAGAACATCCACGACAAGAAACAACTTCAGGTAATCTCGATGCTTTTCTGTAAATTTAACGATACCATACTAGGATACTTTATTGCCAGACTCTGCTGATCTTCGTGCAAGATTAATTCATCTATTAATAATTTCAGTACGTTGAAAAACAATATAATAATATTCTTATTCTTTTAATTCTCCTATAAATGCATAAAATTCGCAATCATTTTAAAACAATTGTGTACCTATTTACGAATTTTGCACTGAACCAGGAAAGTGCTAATTATGCATCGGTTGTTGAATTTAGAACAGAAATATTTCCAGAATTTGTTAGCTTACGAGTGAAACGATGTTTCCATTGTA